GCCCCGCGCGCCTCCCGCTCCGCCGCGCAGCAACTTCGGCGGCCGCGCGCCGCCCGCCCTCGCCTGCCTTTGAAGTTCGCAGTGCCGACCGCGAAGTTGGGACGCGCGGCCGGCGGCGTTTTCCTCTTTCATCTGCCTCTGCCTCCGCCCCCGCCTCGTCTCCTGGGGTCCCCGACTCTGGGGCGCAGCATCTTGGCCGGGTCTGGGGACGCGGACGGCTTCACACGCCACCCCTCGGGGGGGGACTTTTCCTCTTCCCCTAGGAAAAACAAGCCGATCTTTTAAGGTAAGTCGTGAGAGGACAGTAGTCTCCCCACGCCCCGACGACTCCGCCGGCCACCCCGAGACCCAGCGCCGGCAGCGTCACGCGCGAAGCTTCTCCGGGTGGGGGTGCGAGCGCAAGTCTCCCAACTCGGGAGGGCCCACGAGGGGCCCCGGGACGCCCGATCCGGAGGAGCTGCGGGCACGACGGGCGTGGAGCAGGGTACCCTCCGTTTCTCTGACTGTTTCGAGGTCGCGCAGCCCTGAGAGGCGTGAGGAGTGGGACAGACCGCCCACGGGTGGGAAGACGGGGGGGGCGGTACGCGGGATGAGGCTGGGGCCGGGGAGCCGCAGAACCTTGATCCCGCACTTGGCCCGGACACTGTCTTCGCTGCCTGCCGGGAGGGCTGTCGCCTCCCTCTCCAGGCTGGTGCCCTGCGCCAGCCGCTCGGGAAAGTCCGCGGAACTGGGCTACCAAGTGGGGCGTCTGCGTGCGGGGCGCAGCGAGAGAGTGCGGGCAGAGCGCGGGTGGCCGGGGGACGGCCCGGAGCCTCGCGGCCGGGGCCGAGATCTCGGCGGGCCTCGCCGGTCGGTCCCCCTTCACTCTGGCCCCTCATGTGTGGGCAGCGCGGCGGGCGAGCATCCCTAGGGAAACTTCCTCGGGCTGATCGGGGTGGCCTGGGACGGCTCATAGTGCGCCTGTACTTGCGCCCCGGGAGACCCCGGAGCGGACGCCCCTCTCGCCCGGTCCGTGCGCGAGTTGGGGTTCGCTCTGACCCGCGATGCCTTCCTCCCCGAGCCGGGGAGGCTCTACGGCCCCTGCGCCCAGGCGTCCCGAGAACGGTTTCGGGTCCCAGCTGCGGCTCCCCGCCAACTGCTGATTTTGGGGCGCAGTCGCGGCTCCTTGTGTGCTCCCACTCCCTTTCCTCCCCGCACCCCAGCCCAGGCCGGGGCGTGGGAGTTTCCCTCAGCCACCTCCCACCCCCCCACACCGGCTTCTCGCGGTTGCGGCGAGGACTCCGCGCCGGCTGTCCTTGTCGCTGGGTCGGGGTTCTCCTCCCGGCCCCCTTCGGGGCGCTGTCCATCCCTAGCTCTGGGTGCGGTTAGCGCCTTGAACCCAGGACCTAGAGCGGTACATGAACCTGAGCAAATGTGTTTTTCAGAGTTCTCTTTAGCAACTTTGTTGGGTTGGTAAATGTGTTTGCTTCTAGTCTGTAGATCCCGCTAAGTCACAAGGGAGAATTTATGTTTTTTTCTATAGTTGCGGAGCTCCCCAAACGCACCACCCTACCCCTCCCCTCCTCCCTTCCTCCTCCTGCCTCGCTTCCTGAACCCTTTTTCTTCTCTGAAGGAGGGAATCTCCGCACCTCCTCCTCTCCTCCTCCCACCCGATCCCTGAGCGCCTGTGAGAACCGGGGGAGTCGTCAGTGGAAATAAATAGGACCCGCTCCATTCTCCGCCCCCTTCAAACAAGGAAAATCCTCCCTGGGCTCGAAGAAGTAGAGATAAAACATCCCTCCCGAGGGAGTGGTTGCTGAGGGTTTGATGGGATTGAGTTGTTTTATTATCCTGAAAGAAGTGATAGATGGATGCATGCGGGAGGGAGTATGTGTATAGAGCAGAGTGTGCTGAGGACGATCGGCATTTATTATTATTCATTATTGTTTATTAAGAGTGATAATAAGGTCGTAACCCTAGCCGAGGACTGTGTTTATACTCGGGTTTGATTTTATGTCAGTGTCTTATTACAGTGGTTTCAGAAAGTGAAAACACCGAAACGGTATTAATTCCTCACACTCATTCTGCATATGGGATTAATCAAGTGTCAAAAAGGTACTGTCATTTTACCAAAGTTTTAACCCATGAACTTTTAGAAGGTTGCACTCTTATGAAATGTCATTTACCTCAATCTATGTTAAAGTTGGAAAAACTTGGCAACATAATTAATTATGGTCCCAATTCCCATTTTCAATCTAAACCTATATCCAGGATTATATTAAAATACCCCATCATTTATTCTTCAAAAGTGACTCTTACGAGTTTAAATTCTTGGAGGGGAGATGGGGACAACTGGGAATGAGGGGTTCAGAGTTAGAGAAATTAGTACTAATGCAGATTTCTCTAAAACAATCCTTTACTTCTTCCTTTAGAGAAGGAAATTGTAAGTTTCCTTTCTGTACGGTTCTTAACTTTAGTGAATGTCCTTAATCTTTACCACACACTCGAAACATAACAGCTTGCAGCCTTGTCTGTATTATTGTTTTCATTTTTGAGTCAGGACATTTTATTCATTAAACCTGTATGTCAAAGACTTAGACTCAGCATGGCAGTAACACTCTGTTTTAATTAGTAACTATCATAAAAAAGAAGCTAGAACTCTGTAATAGGCCTAAATTGCTATGAATTATGTGTGGTTTAAATTACACATTTATTTCAGCTGAAATGAAACCATGAATATAAAACATCCTTTAATCACTTGCAGATACAGCTTTTATCTCTTAAGATGTAACAAAATATATAATTGAAAAACATCTTTCTAAGAATAAGGGAAGCCCCCACCCCTGGTTTATTTATCCCTGCATCTATTTAACATTCATGTGGTGATTATGGTAGTTACGACTAACGTCAAAACCTTGCCCATACCATGCAAAGGAAAGACTGCATTGGAAGTACCTCAGTGGGTCCATCTGCAGATAGCTTTATGTAGAGACTTTTTCTATTGGTTTCATGAACCTTGGCAATTCAGACTTAGTTTTCTCACTTAGATTATTAAACAGACTTTATTTGTGATAAGGAAAAAAAAGGTATTTTAAAACTCTAACAAGTTATTTGAAATGAAAGAGGGAAGAATGGAAATAACGTGTCCCTGTTGTTATCTTCCTATATATTTGTTTTTACAGCAGTTGTCTATTCAGTCTCTAAAGGTCAGAATTTTTATTTTAAAACTGACTGTGAAAACAAAAAATGTTGTGATTGTTCTTAGGACATAGTGGATATTGGAAATGGAATGCCTGAATTAAGAGAGAACATAGGAGCACTGTGGGAATTCCATATAATATGTGATTAAGATTATTTTGTTCTCCCTTTCTTAGTTTCTTCGTGATAAGGTAGTTGACACTAGTGACCAGGTAGTGCTCTCTCTCACTTTTTTTTGTTTCTTATCTTCTTGTCAGGTCTTGCTTTGGGGAGCCATGTACCCATAGAAGCTAGTTAATGATTGAACCTTGCCAGAGTCAGTTGCCATCAGCTAACCACTGGAAGAAATAATATTCGATGGTCATCTGTATTGGGTCAAAGGCAAGAATAACCAACAAAAACAATTCAGCTAATTCATTTGACCTTGAAATAATATCCAGAACCTCTAAGTGTTTATTTTGGAATGACTATTCTGAAGAATGTAATGTATTCACCTGTTGGCTCATAATCATTTAGTGAAATACACAGCATAGTTGAACTGTAAATAGTAAACCACACCAAATCTTTGCTTTGAAAATTGATTTTAAAGTTCAAGTCCTCCGGTATTTAGTTTCTCCATTTAAAAATGCTCTGCATTGTATGCCCTTAAGTAAGGATAAATTCTCCTATATTTTTCCACTTTACTACAAATGCAAGATTAAATGACACCTAAGACGTATACAGTCATGCGTTCATGTTAATTTTTACCCAGGAAAAAAAGTAAATACTTTGCTGTTGTTGTTTGAAAAATTAATCATATGGCATGATTACAAGAATGCTAATATTTTATGGTATCATATTGTGGTATGTTGGCCATGAATTTAGTTATATTTGGGGGGAAAAAACACACTGTTTCAGTGTGCATCTGTGTTTGCTTGACTGTGTGCATTTCATGTATTTCTTGCCACATCAGATGACATCTGGAATTTGCTGTTCCATAGCCTGCCAGTGCCCAAGCCAGTACCTAACACAGGTGTCTTCTTGACTGCTTACTAAATACACAACCCAAAGATGCAATATCCACATCTTCCCTCTTCCTTTTAGGATTTTACTAAAACCTGCAAATCAACACATATATGAATTTCATTCTTGAAATATTTGGAAAATATGAAGTATATAACAGCAGTTACCTCCAAATAAAATGTGTTCTTTGTTTTGCATTTCAAAAGTTAACAGTAAAGAATTTGATCACTATGGAGTAAAAGCAAGCTAGCAATATGTTTCTGTAGATTTTTTTCCTTTAGGATGAAGAGACAGATTTGACCACAGAACAGCTGGATATTAGGTTCTATTACAATGTCAGTTATTTTCAAGGAACTCACTTGAGTTAGATTTGATTTAAACTTCACTTTA